CAAACCCGCAGTGTGCACACATTGCCCATACATGCGCTTTTAGACGTGCTATGGATGACAAGTGGCAATAATAAACACGTTTGGTGCACTGGACCGGTTTCACTGTACAGTAATACAAGTGACTAGACTGGGTGTGTAGTTATTACACATGTCAACTGAGTTACTCAACACACGGACATGTGCACCATTTATTTATTATCTGAAGATTTAACAGCCATTTTAAATATGTTTTTATTCCTAATGCATAAAAAAACAAATGCACATGCATTACATGTACACAATTTGAAGTAAGACGGTATTCCGCATGCACACACGCAGCTTCTTTGTAGTGCTGCATTTTTCAACGGGGCTAAAGTGGAGTAACAGTTCACAGTGGAGCAATATGGAGACCCCGGTTTATCGATTTAACTGAGACACTGACTATCATACGGCTAATAGATTACATCAGACACATCGGAGTGGCCCAGTCAATGAGGCCTGATCCTGTTAACTGGGGATTTGTAAACAGTTGTGTGCTCACTGTGACGGCTGCTGTAGTGCTTTGTGAGCCTTATCGAGGGGAAGATGACTGCAAAGGTCTGCAGGAGGCTCAGAGGTGGTTGCCTTCAATTTTTACAACCCATTGATCAGCCAGCTTCATCGTCTATTCATTGCTGTTGCGGTTTGGTTTTTATTTGTTTGTTTGCATGTTTTCAATTGTTTTTGCGGTATTTAAAGCACTTTGACAGAATGAGATAATTAGTGCCTGGAAGTATGTCATGAAAATCAGTTGAGAAAGAAGCAGATTCTAGTTTTTCTTACCGTCCAAAAAACATAATTCCAGATTTAATGGTCTTTGTCTATGTTCTCTTGGCAAACTTTCATCTGACCACTGGATTTTTCCAACGCCATCATCACGTTGTGTATCACCTTTCCTCTTCTATAGCATTAGACGATAAGAACATATCTGCCGGTGCCTTTCTACTCATTTCACATTGTAGCATACACAATTTGAATTCCTGACATTCTTTTTTTTTTTTGTTTTTTTAGACGTGTCAACAAATTTCACTGCAGGTGTGAAACACCATGTGAAACTCCCATGTGCATCACTGCTACCACTTCAGTATCGCCTTGATTCAAATGTTGCAGCAAGAACTCAGTGATGACATAATTGCACCCAACGCTGCGTCAAACAGACACTTTGCTTACTTTACATTTGCATCTATAAAAACTGAATGTGAAGCTGGTCTGTGTTGGCCTGGCGACCGGTCCAAGATGTCTTATAAATCTCCCCCAAATCTTTGACAAGGAAAATGCTTTTTCCCAGCGCTGTATATTGTGAATGACTTTTCTTTAAAAAGACAGAAATGTTTCTACACAAACACATCAGTTGTTTATGTGTTTTTATATTCTAATAAGACGCCACAAGTAATCAAAGTTGAGTTCTGGAGTCACATCAACGGCAGTAAATAATTAAAGCCATAAATCCTTTTGTCTCTCTCCAGTGTTTTTTGCCAAGCGAGGACCTTTTGTGAAGAGAAAAGAAAAACTCCGCTAATGGTTCAGTTCAACCAGAGTCCATTACAGCAGAAGTAATTCTTCTGTTTAACCAGCACTCCGGTAAATGCTGGTTGTGGAGTTTTCAGATTAATTTTGCGGTCTGAACCTATTCACATGTTCCTTCAGGGGTTGTGCTGCAAAGAGGAGAGAGAACTCTGAGCGAGCGAGTCGGAAAGCTACGGTCTCAGCCAACAGTGTGCTTTTAAGAGCAAAACGACTTCTCCAAAATAAATAGATCTGTGTCACTGACTGCCAGGAGAGAGAAAAGCCCTCGGTTCAATAATTAATTCCTGAGTCGAGGGTTTTGGAGTGCCACTGATTGGGCTGATTTTTTATTTTTATTTATTTATTTATTTTTTTCTAATTCTGTTATGATACAAAGGAGGCCGTTTGAAGTAATTTGTCCCAGAGAGAGCAGCTCGGAATACCATACATGCTTTGATTTAGCAAAGCAAATTTAATTTTATTTGCTTTATGCAAACCAGCCGGGGCCGCGGGGCTTTCTCTGATTCCACCAGAGGGGTGATGGTGGTGCTGCTGCTTACGATGGAGGTGGGGGAGTGCACACAACAGAATCACGCTGCTCGCCGCTAATATACAACACGCCGCGCGTGGCGAGCAGCAACGGTTCAAAAGTACAAAGCATATTCCCCCCTCACACACACGCGCACTCTACGATCCCTTTGAAATCAAAGCTTAAAATAATTGTTTGTGCTTTGTGTTTTGTTTTGTTCCATCCATCTATTATTAGTGTTACTGGTATTATTCCTATCGTGTTGTTTTAGTTGCCTGTTCTTGCTTCTTGCTGGGGTTTTGTTTTATTCTCCTAATGAAAGCTTCTCTCCTCACTTTTGTTCTGCTTGGTTTTTTTTTTTCTCTCTTTCTCCAAATACGTGAATGGAATCTGCGTTTATGTCTGCGCCTGGTACGTTCGGAAATGTCTAACAGAATAATGAAGAGCGTACTTGTTATTTCGTTCTTTTGACAAGGTCTTTTCTCCACATCTGATTAGAAAGTTTTGCCACTGAGCAAAAACTGTGAACGAGCGCATATGTAGAGGAAGTTGCATATGTTACTTTTTGGCTTTAAAAATCATTCCTGCCACTTCAACTTTTCCACATTTTCTCACATACTTTAGTGTATTTTCATTGGTGTATTTTTTGGGGGGTAAGATGGGGAGGGAAAAGAAAAATGATGTATTGGTTTTGTTTTTTTATTCTTACTGTAAAAATGATCATGATTTCCAGCTTGAATCGTGTTGTGGGATAATTTTTTCCCCTTCAGAGAAGGAAAAAAAGACCAATGGGAAGATTGATAGTACTTAATACTGAACAAGCCTTGAGGAAAAGGCTGCAAAAGAGAAGATTCTGTGTTGACCTCAGAACAAGACCCTTAAACAAGCAGCCAGAGCTACAACGCAACGGCGCAGACCAAGCTAGCTTTGCTTTGTAGCTAAAACAAAAACTACAAACCTCTGGTATAGAGATTTGTTGCTTTGTACAGCAAGGTTTTACCTTCAACTGTTGAGAAATGATGGACTCTGTTGAAGTTTTAAACATTTAGATCTGATTCTGGAATGTAGTTCTCCAGCTCGACCATGACAGGAGCGACGCGACGAAGCCTACTGGAAAATTTGTGCGCTGCAAACAACCATCCTCCACTGCAAAGAGAGAAGTGCTGAGCAGAAAGAGATCTTTTCCAGCAATGAAGTGACTTTGGATCAATATTTGGAAGCGTTGCCAACACAGACTGAACGGCTTTATTTTCCTCCGCTGCCATTGATAAAACTACAGGCTGACTACGATTGTAAAACAGGGTCACAGTCGACATCACAACTCTTCCTTGTGTTTGCTGATTGAGCCAGTTGAAATTCCACCAGAGGAATCGAGCTCAATGTGAGAAATTCCATCTCAAGAACTGAAGGGAGATGAGAATTAAGTAGAATTTCACTGGAAGGCAAAAGTCAGTCAGTCACTCAGGTTTAATTGAAAAGCATGTTTCAGCAAGACGGCAGATCAGAGTGCTTTACATTGTGAAAACGTAAAAAACATAATAAACACGTCAATCATCAACAGTTGTGAAAAGCAATAACAGACGTGACATTTTGTCAAGTCCCATCATTCAAATCATTGATTCACATCAAATATGTTAGTTAATATTCCATTTATTGAGGTTCAAAAAGCAACTCTAAATATGTGGCTTTTTAATCCTGATGTAAAGGAACTGTGATTCCTAGTCAAAGCACAGACTTAAATCAAACTGGAAATTGATGTCCAGACTTGAAAGTTGATGTTCACACAGAGTCTGGCTGGAAAAACGCTGGTAGATCTACTGAAAAAGGTGTTCAGCTGTAATTACAGTAAAGCCTGGTTTTCCAAATTAAATCTACCTGAACACAAATTTATGGCTCCTTCATTCAATCTATAAAATCATAGTTCGTTTTTTTTGCAGCCTCAGTTATTTCTTTTAATTCCTTGCACAACATGTTCTTCCCCTTCACTATTATGCCCTACTTGGGTGATCCAAGTAAAGCATCTATGACAAAATGTCAAACTTCATCGGCGTTGAACATGACGCTGAATGAAGTTATGACATTAATAATAGAATAAGTTAGGTGTAACTGTGTTGTACTGCTCGAAGAGTCTTCCTCGTCTCCACTGTGCTAAAAACATGGTGTCTGTGTACACACGTTGAGGCAGAGATCAGTGGCATTTCTCCTCAGAAAAAATAAATAAAAATGCTTCTTAGAGTCGGCAGCTGAACACTTTTCCTTCACTCCATTCAAATCATTTTCTTAGAGAACAATAATGAGTGGATAAAGGAGAAAAACCCCAATTTCTTTTATGCTTTTTATACACTGGAGGGAAAAAAAAGCCCTCTTTGACGACCCTTTGGTCTTTTGTTATAGAAAACTGAGCTAATATCCTCCAGCTCTCTGCGCAGTTTAAAGGTCTTAATTGGATTCCATTAGTATATTGCTTGACATGACACTTGAGTCGGCTCTATTAGAATTCCCCTGCCTGGGATTAAAAAGAGGACTTTTGCTGCATTTGGCTCTCTGGACTCTTTTGTTAAGAATCAAATTTATTTATTTTTTTGTTGGATTCACAGCTTTTAGTGACACCATTATCGTAAATGTAGAATTAACGTAAAGAGGGCCTTTTCTATGTATGGAGGACCTGCTTTTAAAGGTACGGTCGTGACTCTTCGCAGCAGCTTACGCGTCAAATAAACCTTTGCGGTTATAGAGTGTGAGCTCTGCGTGTGAGTGTCTGATGAATTGTGCTTTAAGTCCTGTAAAGCGGTCCTTCAGCGTCCATCCACAGAAACCTGCTTGTGGTTCCCTGTAAGTTTCCCCTTTATGGAATCACACAGAGTTGAAGTGTTTCCCTTTGTGCAATTGCGGTTTAGAGAAACCAACGTGTTTGATGTTTTCCTCTTGCTATGTCTCCTTGCATTAGTCCGTTGATGACGTGGAGGGACGTTCAGCATCTGATCGCCATGACGGCGAAGATCCCCGACCCCGAAGAGCCGGGCTGGACCATCAACGCAGCAGGATACCATGTTCACCACAGGTATTGTAATAACACCACACGCACAACTAGGAGTTATCCAGGTTTACCTGTGCTGACATTAAATCACACACATGTGGGCAACCAGACTTTTAGATTTAGAAGTCCGGTTGCAATCAGTTTTATTTAGGGGTGCCAGAGTGTAGAGGGGCACAATAAAAATGCACGTCACACCTTTTAGATTTTTATTTGTGAGAAAAATTTGAATATTGTGTAGCATTTATCTTCCACTGGACATCCAGGCAATACTTTGGTTGAAAAGCATCAAGGGTGGAAAGACCTTCCCAAAACGGATACCATCAGGGTTTACTTTCTTTTGTGTGTTTGTTTTTTTATTTTATTTTATTTTTTTAATGTATTTTATGGATTGATAAGTAGGCGTGGAAATCTTTAGGCACATGACTGTTTGATTATAATTACAATTAGATTTTTGACACAACATAAAACACACACATTGACGAAACATACAGCAGTCTCTTGTGTTTATTGTGTAAGTAGCAGGGCTTGTGCCTCTTTTCTTTTACCATTCATGACTTTACGTGTTCTCCACAAATTGTCCCGTTCTGTCATTTTCCATTCCTCAAGTCAGTAAGTACAATTAACGTTCAGATAATATTGTTTTTCTATTTGTTTGGTGATTTAGAAAACATCCATCGTGACACTTAGAAAAGTACAGTTTAGCCAGAGAGGTTAGTAGCCTAATTCACTTAAACTAAATAAAAGGTATAAAAGTAATGTCAGAGATCGCTCACTATTTGCATTGCTGTCGGTGAACTGTCAATGTTTAAGTCTTTTGGAATTTCTTCAGATTCTTGACTATTGGAAAGGCATCATTCCGCTAATATATATATATTTTTTAAAAAACACTATTTAGCAATTTCGATGTTCCTATTAAAAAAGAAACGCAATTAAAATTACTCACTATTACTCATTAAAAACAATAAGTCATTGGAAAGCATGCCGCGGTGTCATCCTCCAAACTCTTCCTGTCGTCTTCTTCATCGTTTCCGCAGTAGTAACAGATGTGGGTCATGTGATTCATGTGATGCGGAAAAAGTTTTTTACGTTTTGCGAAATGCATGTATTTTAATGTAGCTGAAAAACAACCTCATTTTACCTCAAAAACGTATCAAAATGTCCAAAATTTGTGTGTTTTTATTAAGCAAATTTATGTTCGTAATCTCAGTTTGCACAATTCTTTGTTCACTAGAAATACATCTACAGAAAACATGTAGGAAGCTGCATGAAGCGGGGAACAGATTCAAAAATTACTGTCATCATCTCTACATGATGCCTAAATGCATTTTCAATGCTACTTTACAGGACTGCTTGCAGATAACCCCGCTTCGAATTAAAGGTCACCGAATTATTCAGGTGGAGAAACAAACTTCTCACGAAGCGGTCGTTGGCTGCAGGCCGTTTCTCATGATTCTGTGAGCAACCCTGATCTGGACTTCACACATCGGCGGCGTGCGTGTATGAGTGTGTGTGCATCAGCAGGGCAGAGCAAATGGAGCCGGTTGCCTTGCTGAGACGTGAGCATCCTGTCACCTGCGGCTCTTCATTCAGCAGTTCGCTGTGTCCGCTCTTTAATGCTTCGCTTCACTTCCTGTTTCAACTGATCTGCTGTTTAAAAGCAAAAAGCTGCTTTCAAAAAAATTTTAACATTTTTTTTTATGTAGACGTGTTCATTCCGTAACCAATTTTGACAAGGAGTTTCCATTTAGTGAAATCTGTGGTTTTCATTAGTAGTGCATTTATTTAATATTCGCAAATTACAGCATATCTGCAGTATTCTCTGTAAAAGGACCCGTCTGCCTACGTTTTACAAGCTGCTGGCTGGTGCTCGACTGTGCAGCCTCTGTTTGAGACTCATTACGGCTCCCCTTCCCATCCAGCCCATGCTGCTGCTCTGATTGGCCGGCTTCCAGAGGCTTCTCCTGAGCAAACTTCTGCCCTTGGATGTATTGATAACTGGAAACCAGACTCAAACATGCTGCCCAGTCATTAAATGAAAATTGCTGGCTTGGCACAGGAGTCAGACATTTTATTATTTATTTATTTATTTTATTTTCTCTGCCTGAAACCACAGGGGACCGCTGGGTGTTTGTTTTTTTTGTTGTTGTTTTTTTTAGCTTTGAGTGGGACAAAATGCACACAAAGTCATACAAAAATAATTACTTCTATGGATAAAATTTCACACATGAAAGTAGGAAAATGTTGTGAAGGATATTTTGAAGATTTATTTATTAATTTTTAGAATTTGTGAGCCTATTAACGGTTCCTTTAATGTATATTTTATAACAGCGGTCAATGGGAAAATGTTTTCTTGATCATAAGAAAAAAATGTACGTCATTAATTAAGGAAAAAACATTTATGCTAGCGAGAGCTGCACATGATTTTCTATAAATTTTTTGACCTACACACAATTTTTGTTGTTTCAACTATTTTAATGTTGAATCTTTAACACTTTTTAATTATTCCTTTATTTTTAAGAAATGCTTGTTTACTTTTAATGACTTTTGTATAAAAACTGAGAACTGTTTTATAAAATATGTTACTTTAAATTCATTAGAGCTCTAGATTCCCCCTGACTTTATATAGTATAGCTTCTAAAAGCCATTTTTTGCTGGAACCAATTCATTTTTTAACCATTTTTATCATTTAAGAAATTTTTCTCATTTAGCAGTGGTTGTTGGTTGCGCTGATGCCTTGCAGCAACAACAGATTCTGGGTTTGAATCCAGGTCTCAGTTTCCTTTTTGCATGGAGATTCCATGGGAACCGTTTGTACACGAGAAAACATGCCGGAAAATAAACAGTGAATGAAGGATTTCTGCAGCCGTCTTGCTTTTCTAAGTATTGCTCTCTCTTTAAGTGTGTATTGTTCACCTCATCTTTGGTTTGAAAGGCTTTTGAACGTCTGGCCGACCAGTGGTAGCTATTAGTTCTGCTTAGATTTAATCTTCTTCACCAAGATTTGAGTGAAACTTTCACTCACTTTCGCTTTTATATTTAATCCTTGGAACGATTTCAGCTTCGCGTAAGCTTTTTGATCGTACGTCAGCTCATCCGTTCAGATTATATTGTTTACATTGCATTTTTGTGGAAAGTAACTTTTTTTTTTCTTGTTCGGTATAAAATTGATGATTTTCCATATTTTGCTGTCGGAATGAGGCGAGTTGGGTGCAGTCATGATGAAAAGAAAACAAGATAGTAAATCCTTGTTTTTAATTCCAGGGTTTGAAGATCATCTGGTCTCTATCTGGGTTGGCTTGTATTTTAATGTAACCTCAAGCGCACAGAAACACACGACAGGCTCCATTGTGTAGCTGCTTAATATATATATAAAAAAGCTGAACTAAAGCAGTTGAACCTCCTAATCCCACAGTCTGTTTCATGACACGACAGAGGATCTTGTGATATTCAGATGCTGTTATCACACTCCCAGCATGCTTCAGTGTACCTGTAAGGATTTAGAGAAGTAGCGCGTACTGTCTCCCTCACACCGTATGCAGAGTGAGTGAGCCACTGAATAAATGCTTTTACAGTGTCCACAAGGGCAATGATACATCGGTCATCCATCATGGTGTTTGGGGTGTCTTTTATTTTATCCGCTATCTCCCTTTCTTCACCTCCGACCGCCATCGCCTCTCCTTTCCTTTCCTTTCCCCACCTTCCTCTTTTCAAACCTTATGTTCTCTCCATGCCTTATTTCTCCCCTCCATCTCCTCTTGCTCAGCATGCAGTGTCATAAAATAGATTGTAATTACTGTGTTGCTGTGAGAAGAATGGATTAATTAAAATATAATGATGCCGATCACAGCAGCGAGCGTCTGCTGAAATCTGTCCATTTAGGGGGCCGTGGCAGAGGACTTGTAATGCCCTGATCATGCTTTAGCGTCCATTTAAATGATAATTATAAGGAATTGTTTATTGCATGGGTGAGAATGGGTTGACTGCAGTGCAATCAGCGCCAGGTCACTTAGTGTGATTGTTGCTATACATTAGAAAAGATGTCTAACGCGAAGGGACTGCAGTTCAGGAAATTCAGAGACAAGCGGTTTGATTTTATTGGGTTTAAGATGGAAGTATAAAAAAAATAAATAAAAACTGTCTGAGCAGAATAGAAACCTTTCTGCAATTTATGCACAAATGGCGCTCTGTTAGCCTTTATTGGTTAAGACTAACTAATAAAACCAATCAATTATTAAAGTTGGGCTGTTTAAGAATTTACAGCTGGTTTTGGCTGTGTGCAGTTTGTAAGCAGCCCAGAGGTGGTGGAAGTGGCTCTGATCGCACCTGGGAGTGACCCCTGTGTGAGGACCTGGCAGCTAGTGAGAGACGGTAACAACAGGTCGTATTTTGGACAAGACAACTGGAGCAATTTAAAATCGTGAGATCTCTGCACTCTCCCCGTTGCATCTACGTATTAATCTGTCAACTCACTTTGGTTTACGACCACTCGTTTTTATGCTGGAGGTGAGCAGGACAGACACTGGATTCATTCAAAGTGCAGAAACTCCAGTGAGTCGGAAGCGTCGTCGTTCGGAAGTCATTAATTCCCTCTTCCGATCAGAAAGTCACGGAGCCGCAGCGTCTGCGACCTTAAACATTTTATTGCGAGCATGTGCGGATTGGGGACAGATGGTTGCACTGGAAGCAGTGACTGCATGGCTTTGCAAAAGCTTCAGAAAATAAAAAAAAACAGCCTTCCTTAAAGATGATGTGAGTGTGTGTGTTTGCGGATTTGCGAGGCTTGCCGAATGGAAGGAATTGGTCGCCCGCATCCCAGCGTTCCAATCTGTCTGACCTCCATATAGACTGGGAGCTTTACAAAAAAACTCAACAATGTCGTGGAGCGACCTCCCCCCGCCCCCTAACACCCCCTCCAACCCTTCCACCCAACGCTACCGTCGCCACGTCGACAATAAACACGTCAGCCGCCACACGCCACAGCAATCTGCCATCAGATTTACTGTGCATGAAATATAGCGGTGCCT